CGAACTCCATAATTTTTCATGTCTCCTTCCGGATGATCTGCACTGCGGCTGTGCACACTGGCAGAGAGATAGTTCAACCAGAGGTTGCATGCCGGACTCCACCAGACGACGCCTCCTCGCAAAATCCAGGTCTCTGTGTGTGCGTGTGTGTCTCTCTCTGTCTCCCTTACTCTTTTGTCTTATCTCTCACATAGTCTTGTGTCTGTGTCCCTGTCTGTCTCTAGGTGTCCGTCGGTGTGATGCTGTATAGATGCTACAATTGCTCAAACAATTACAATTACAATTCAGGTCTGCTTCACATGCCCGCTTTCTGTCACCCCTCTCCCTGTCCATCTCTGCTGGTCTGTCTCTCTGTTTCTGTCACTGTCCGTCTCTCTCTTTCTCTTTCTCCCTTCTTCAGTCTCCTCGTCTCTCTCTCTCTCTCTCTCTCTCTCTCTCTGTATCTCTGTCTCTCTGTGGCATCTCTCTGTGGCATCTCTCCCTCTCTCTTTCCTTCTTGCAGTTTCTGCTGAATGTTTGCTCCCTCTCTCTCTCTCTCTGTGTCTATGTATGTCTGTGAATCTCTCTCTTGTAGTTTTTGCTCTGCCTACGGTGGTGCCTTTGTATGAGAAACCCCAGTGTTTCCTATCATGTCCTATCTCTTCTGTACTACTAGTCTCTTCTCGGCCTTCCTCTTGCCGTGTTGTCTCTCTTTATCTTTGTCTCTCTCTCTCTCTCTCTCTCTCTCTTTCTTGGTTTCTCTGCCTCTGTTCTTGTGTTTCTTGCTCTTTTGCTCTCTCAACCATTCTTCGGCCCCTGGCTGCTGCAAGTCACCCTGCCTGTCCTGGCTTCATGCGCAGGCACAGTCGGGCCAGGATCATGAAGCCGCTCCAGCTGAGCACATCGTGCTCGCTGTTCATGGCGATGTCAAACGTCTCGGACCGATGACCCTCGAAATTGGTGCATGCAACAAGAAGAAAGGAGTTCAGCTCCGAAACCCAGGATCACAGGATACATGCCAGTCCTCCGACGTTTCAGCAATCTTTGCTGCCATTCTGCCGGTGCCTCCGAAGGCACATAGGAAGTCCACATCTCTCTCCGTGTCCTGCTTCGCAGAAAAGTCAGGGAGCATGTCAAGTTCATGAATACAACATCAAGTTAAGAGGTCAATGCCTGAACCACACGGACAGACTTATAGCTGAACGAGCTTTTGAAATGTCAAGCTCTGCCTGGCTGTAGAATGGCAGGCACCTTTCACCCCGGTGTCTTACCCTCAAGTTCTTCCATGTTTGCTCTGTCGAGTCTAAAGCTTTTATGGAGAGTAAGTCAGACACTGGCCTGCAAGACAGATACAAATATGACGACAAAGAGGATGTTGCAGTTCAGATATAGCTTTTCGTCACTGCTACAATAGTTCAATAGTGGAACTTCCTTCATCTTCGGGCCCAGGATTTTCTTCAGCCATGTCGGGCAGCAGGTGCGGCTCGTGGGCATGTGTGCCATCGCTAAGCACGGAGGAGGCTATGCACCAGTGCTCTTCGGCACGGAACCAGTGTCTGCAAGCCAAGCCCTGCCTTGTGTATCCCCACTGGCAAGTCAAGCTGCACATGCACAAATGACAAGATTGCCAGATGCTTCCAATCTGAATCACAAGAACATCGAATAGAAACCCTGGCAACGTTTCGTCAGGAATCGATATTCTGCTTGTGCGTCTCTGCATCGGAGCAAGATCCAAAGCACGGCCGGTGGTTGCTGGAGAAGATGTTGGTCTCTGTGTCTGATTTCGGGCCAACACAGAATGCTCATGCCATCAACACTGGGCTCTGGACACTCTAGAGTCTAGAGTTTCTAGATTCTAGACTTTCTAGAATCCCGGAGCATAGAAACCAATAAAAATATATTACTACCATATTATTGATCTACAATCTGGGATCCCGTCAGACAACCAGAGTGTCTTTGCGAACATGCCAATTCCAGCAATCCAGAGAAGGCCTAGCTTGCATTCTGCAGGTCACGCTCTCATGGTCTGCTCGTGTTCAATATGCTATCACCTGCGGGCCCTCTAGTCCTGGAGCATACACAACACTGCTGCTATTAGGAAAGGTCTAGAACTAAGGGCTCAGCTCGGACAACAAGACCTTCTCTGAATCTGTCTCCCAGCGAAATCGGGCCATCTGGAGGGCTGAGCAGGCCTACCATGCACTTTGCATCGGACCCGCGTGTGCCCGCAGGACCAGTTGCAAAACACCATGTTTGCTGCACCTGCTCAGTCAATCACGACTTCGGCAATGCCGGCCCCTGGATGATGACCTGGAAAGTCTTCAGGGAGGCAAGCTCGTTTCAAAACATCTCCAGCTGATGAAAATAATTTTGTGGTGTCAGGCTTCGGATGCAGAGTGGCAGGACAGGGGCTTCAGTACTAGATGCCTCGAACTTGAACCCCGAATGATTCTGCAAGTTTCTTGTTTGCACGGGTTTGTGCTTGTCGGTCCCGGAGTGCTGTGTGACTTCTTGGTCTATGTCTGACTATGCTGGAAGCCAGAATGTACAGCAGTCCCAGTCACATGCCACATGGCTCCTGTCAGCTACATGCTGCATGTAACCAATGGGTCTATGTTGTTGGCACCTTGCGGTGGCAAACAGAAGGTGCCTCCTCTTCGTCTGCATTGTGTGTTGCATGATCCTGACGCACTGCAGAGTCAGCTGACATGGGCGCCTGATTCTGTGATAGCAAGTACGAAGATACTTAGAGCCCTGCCCCATCTGGTCCTCGAGGTTTCCTGTCGCATCATTCCCATCTTCCTCCTCCAGCCTTGCGGATTCCTTCAGGACAGCATGGAGAAGCAGCCATGGACACAAATCAGGACATTCCATGCTGGTTTCCAAATCGAGGGCACCAAGGCCCTGTGTGGAAATGTCAGAATCTCAGAGGAATTGCTAGTCTAATTCGTCTGATTTCTAAATTCTAAATAACTGCTACCAGCACAGTCACATTTTGCCGAGGCTCGTGGTGGCTGCCATCCAGGTGCTCCGCTCCACCTTTGCATTTGCATTGCTCAGTTCGATTCATGACAAGCCGTGTTACGAGCAGTATCGCAGAGTCGTTGAAGCAGTCGAGTCCATTGGTCATATGCCATGATTGTTTCTGATGAAGTGGATAGACTCGCTTGCCAGGCGACTTGATTCTATGTCCTCGGTGCCATTGCAGATGTTGCAGATTTTCCATACCCGGCAGCTAACTGGTGACAGGTAGCACTGGCACTGACTAACACTAATATATAGTTGGGTTAGTTGAATTGAAGCAAGTCGAGGGCTTGGAGGGGCATTTGGGCGGGGAGACAAGAAGAACGCTTGCGGCCCTTGCGGGAATCAATCATTTTGCAAAGGACCTGTGCACATGTAGAGAGCGAACCACATCAAAGCATCGAAGAAAGGCTGTCAGAGTTGCCTGCAAATCTGAATCGAGCCCCAAGGTGACGATGAACTTTTTGTCCATGGACCGCAGCATCTCCTCGGACCTTTTGTTCAGGTCGGACCCTAGCCTCTTGTCAGTGGCCTCAGCTGCCAGGAAAAGTCGGGCCATCTC